CCCCCCCCCAGCTGTGGGAAATGCGAATTCATTTCTCTCCTCCACTTCGGACAATTTGAACCTGCATTTCCTACATGCTATTTCATTGCTTAATCACTGGATTGTAGCATACTTTAAGATGATACATTCACATTATCCGTGGTTCATACTGTTTTATTTTAGGTAAGTAAATATCCACTAGTATAGATCTTAAAGATAACTGTCTTACCTCTTAAGTAAATATCATGACCCCTGCAAATAGAGTCATTTTCTCATTGCTTTTTGCATGCTTTCATAGATTTATCTTCATATAATTTATTAGTCATGATTTCTTTAAAGGATATTACTTAAAGATAGGTAAATTTATTTTAACATAACTCTACGTGGTCTAAATAACTGCTTGACAGAAATCATGTATTTAATAGGCAGTATCTGCTTATGAGATTTGAAATTTGGATCTCGGATAAGGACAGAAATAAATAGTAAGTTGTCAGGAATCTTATTCACAAGCCTACTTATTTTGGTAGCTGTGATAATATTTCCTTTCCTTGAGGTTTTTTTGTACAGTATACTATCCAACTCGAATTTCTTAAGCTTCTGGTGAAAACTACTCATCATTAAGGCATTTTCCACTGGCTTTCAAAATTTAAATATGTGTTTTACCAAACTTAAGTAAACACCACTAAATTAAACAAATTCTCTTTGCCAGCTGGAAACGCAATGCAAAGCTTTCATTGATGTTTTTCCTTTCAACGGTTTATACTATCCCTGCACCCTAAATTGCATTAACAGAGTAGATGTTAGACCAAAATACATTATGGACAGAGTTCTATTGTTCTCTGCTTTTTTCCTGTTTGTAACCAGCAAATCCCACTATTCAAACTGTTGGGCTAAGTTGTTTATGTCTCATGTTGGCGTAATGACAATTAAATACATCACTGGCATGTACAAGCCAAGGCTTTGGAGTCTTGAAACAATAGTGGCCTTCTGACTGCCAAAGCCTTTTTGCTCCTTAGAAACTTCATTTGCTGAGCTGTGATTTCAAAAGTGATTTAGTTTTTAAACCGTTAGAGTTGATCTGTTTGCTAAAGAGAACAGCCCTCAAGTATGTTGATATTTAATAAAGAATTCCTTGCCTTTTTGTATTTATTTTTTAAATGATGTTTAAATACATTCATTTAAATGTTTGTGTTGCTTTGCTTTCTACGTTATGTTACTACAGTCTGCCTTATAGGTAGAGTGGATATGTGTGTCGGGGGAGGCCCCAAAAAGAAAAGATTATTGGAAATGCCAACAACATGTAACTGTTTATATTACCAAGATCTTTGTTAACTGGAGACACTGAAAGGATGGCCATGTGGTTACAGGACAAGAGTAAAGCCTAGAAAATAAAAATTCTCTTGTTTTCTCTTTGCCTGACTTGTTATATGTGACATACAGTTCACGATCGCTTTTCTGTTTTCGAGTTCTGCAAAATTGACTTTCAATGTCATCAGGGTGCCAGAAGGCTAAATAAATGTGAAATAAGTCTGATCGTTAGCTCAAAGGTGGTGAAAAATACAACATTTTAATGATTTTATTATCACAACATGAGTGTAAGATATGCAAAGTGTGAGGTATCAGAAAAACAGTGTTCCAGTGTATTTCATTTTCTGTACATGTGAAGAATTAACTCTTAGAGGTCTTATTCTTTGTTGCCCTGTATAAGGGGGTCATAGCTTGACTGGACTAAAAAGGTGTGCTTGGGGAGAGAAAGGAAAAGCATAAGTATGTGTATATGTGTTTGATGCTGAGTTTATGTGGCACGGAAGTCAAGACGCAAAATGACAGTATGAGATCATTTCAGTAGAACATGATTTCTTTCCTAAGCATTTTGCTTTGTTTTGTTTTATTTTACAGTTTGCCCAGCTGGTGTCTGTCTACAAAACTTTGGGTCCAGAGAAGTTCCCTTTAATTGAGCAAACATTCTACCCAAATCACAAGGAAATGGTATGTGCAAATATCAATACTAAATTCAATTACTGTCTGTATAAAAGAGGAACTATAAACACGTGATTCATTTCCCCCTATTTACTGTCTCTATTTTAAATGCCATGTTGGAAGCTTTCAGTGGGATGAGACTGGGTGACCACTTCAAAGCGCTGTAGTGGTTAACTGGAAAATGTTCAGATCTGAAGCTAGTCATCTAATTTCAGACCTTAGAGAGATTAAACAGTTATAAAGACACAGAACAACTATTAAAGAACAGAGGCTTGTCTTATGGTTTGTTTTCAACCTGATCTTTTGTGATGAGTTCCAAAGGTTTATCGTCTTTGCAGATGTTACGTAAGGCTGGATTCATCTCTATGTAGAACATGGAACTCATCTACAGTCACGTTATTTGTGAACTGTGATCTTCATGTACCTGTGTTGGTATTGTTTCGTTTCCAATCCTTTACATACAGAAATGCATTCTTAAAAACGACACTCGTGACCTTCGCTTAGCTTATTTTTTCCTAAAATAATACCATCCTGCAGATTTTAGATCTTCAGATGCCTTTGATGTCTATTCTTCCTATATTTCCTTAAGGCATCAAAAAAAAATAAGAACAGCTGTTTCTCATGAACTATGGAGAGCTTAGAAACTGAAGGTACAGAGGCAGCTGATAAAAACTTGCTATTTATGCAAGCTGCCTGTTTCTCGAAAAAGTTCAAGATACCTTGTAATCTTGAGTTCCCAAACCTGCTTTAAGAGGAACATATGCTTTAACTCCTGGTACGTGGCAGTGAGACAAAGAGAGTAGTTCCTCAGCTACCTTAAGAAGAATTTTGAGATCACTCTTGGGGCGTTTTGTTTCCTATGCTGTTTGTATAGGGAACAGTGTGTTTAGGTCATCAATGAGAAGGAAAGATGTCCTTTCTGTCCTGTGAGAAGGTAAAGTGGTAGTTTTACAGCAGTCTGTCTAATGATGCTTTAGGTGGAAGTGGGCAAGTATGCCTTATCCTCAGTAGTTTCTGAAAGTGCATAGAAAGAGAATATGTCAGTTTGATTGTTTTCCTGGAACTGGTTGGGAGTGGGGGGGCTGAGGGAGGGTAGCTAATAACAGTTTCCAACCTGCAGATAAAGGTACAACTGTGATTATTTCTATGCCTGAATATGAAGATTTCAGAATCTAATGGCCCACAGAAAAGCATAAGCTGCAGATAGTTTTTTCTTACTTTTCTTACGGTTTCTAAACAGAAATTCTTTCCTGAGTATTTCTTTCTAGAGAAGATAATTTCAGCACTGAGAGAATTTGCTGATGGAACAGACTAGCTCAGAGGCATCAGTTATTTTTAGAATATAATCCTGATCTTGTCACTCAGTATGTCACACAGTTGTGATTCAAGTGCCCAAAGTATCATTGCAATGTCATGATAAAAACATTAGTTTTCTGTTTATATTAGGTCCTCAATCCGTAACTTTCGTGTGTCTGTCTGAGATGCTGGCCTGCACTTCATTATCATAAATGACAGCTAAGATAACCTTTAGTGATATTAGTTGACTAAGATTTCATTTGAAGACCTCTTTCTCCCACTTCTGCCTCCCCCTTTGGTAACAAACACAGCATGGTGTAGTTTTGCTCTGTCTTCTGATGTAATGCGAGAGTGGCGGGGTGACTGTTCCCAGTTCTCCTCTCTGGCTGCTTTAGACAACTAGCTTGCATACAGATTTTTTTTCCCCTTATTTGCCACATGTGACATTTGTTATGAAAAGAGCTTTCACCAGAGTTATGTATTTAGTACATTTACTGCACAGGAGTTTTGTAGAGCCAAAGAAGAATGGTACTGAGCCAGAGCAGCAGATCAAAGTATCATCCTGAATAGTTGAATCTTTTCAAAATGGAAGAGGTTTTTGCTGATGGATTTGTCAGGAAAATGTACAGCTTTATAATTCTCTGATACTTATTTTGCATTAAAAAAAAAAATATTTCATGCCTTGGGAATTAATTCATAACACATGGAGAAGCATAACCACATCTCATGTCTTGCAATATGCTTTTGCAAATGGTAATAAGTTTTATGTTTCTCTATATTCCTGTGAATGGGCAAGATTAAAGCTGATTTTTAATTTCCTGCACAAAATTAATTGTTTTTTCTTCACTATGTTATCAGCTGTTGTTCACTATTTTGCTGAAAAAACATGCATGTTTATGCATTGCTAAATAGCAGCACATAGAAACAAAGAAAATAGTCTATGATTTGGGCCAAAAATTAATGTTTCAGCTTTTAATTTATATATAGTATGGCCCTGTGGAAGGTCCACCAGATAGGTTGCAAACTGCTGTTTTAAACAGCTGATAGAATTCCAGTCCACCAACAGAATGCAAACAAGAAAATAGGCCGTATTTTGTTTGCTAACAGAGTATAACAAATCTGAGGGGCTTCCCCCCCCCCCCCCCCCCCCTTTGGGTATTTGGTTCCTGTACCTTGATCACTAATGTCTGAACTGATAAGTTTTTGTCTTGTTTAAACTTTTGATTATCAATATTATCCAAGTCTCAGTAATTTTTTACATATGTCTGTCGTCTGTCATGAGCATTGATCTAGAGAGAGTTTATCCCTGCCTCAGGACAGTATTGCCATACATGCTTTAGCTGTGCGGTAATAACTGATTTTGGTGAAGTTCATCTATTTTTTTCCTTGTGAAGAAATTCTTGTGAAATTTGTGACTTCACAAATAATTAGGCAACATGGCACTAGATAACATTTTATTGGAATTTCTGCAATGGGTGGTAAGATGATCTGGATAATGGAGTTTTCTTAGTAGGTGAAATGAAGTCCTATCACACTATTCGAATGCTGTTGTCTTTTAAACACTGTTTCTTGATAGGTGGCTGGTTTGATCTTGCTTCTACAGAAATTGATGCTTCCTATTTATGTAGTTACTCTTGTGTTTTGTTCCTTCCCTTCTTATCCCCCCCCCAAATTGCAACCTAGAGCTTTCCACCCAGTTCAAGCCATATTGTAGGGAGACGGGAAAGCTCTGTACAGGACAAACCATTTTTGAATCTCTGTGAACTGAGTTTTCGGCTGAGCATGCCAGATGTAAAGTTGCACTTCTGTTTCTTTTGCTTCTTTCATACTGTAGTGGTCATTTGTACCGAGTCTTTAGACAGCACTAAAAGGTAAATAAACAAAGATGCCATTCTTTTGTGTAAAACTGCAGCTGCCTTAATGAAACACTTTCTGAAACAGAAACATTCATCTCAAAGTGATTAAAGCTATACAAAATGCTGTAAGGCTTTTTGAACTCATTGCTATTTGAGTCATATCTACAGCCTTTTCCTCAGTAATTAATTTTCTTTATTTCACTACATTCCTACCTTCTATGTTCTCTGTAATGAAAAAATGGCTTTTCCAACATAATTGTTGGACATTTTAATTAAAACTTAACTAGAACATTGAGAAAGGCCAACATTATGTGAAGTTTTTTTTTTTTTTCCACACTGTTCACCTGTATGGTTTCCCTTCTCTAATCTCTAATTATAATTCACACAAGTCATTTTCAAATTAAGATCAAATGTTGTAGCAGGCTGTATTTCTGTTTTGACCTTCAGTGTGGCACATGCGTAGTTTCAGGAAGTAAATATCAAATGTTGTAATAATAGTCTACTGTTTGTAATAAATCAATGCTACTGCAGCCAAAATCTTCATAGGAAAATAACATATTCTGAAAGTAACACTATAGCTGATCTTTTCATTATCCTTATCAACGCTGAATCTCATGAAAAATAAACAGTCATTCTGGAAGAGTGTTTTAAAGCTTTTCTTGCCCTGTTTATTGATATTAGGAAAAACATCTTTTTACAATCCGTTATGGGAAATTTGGCCAGATATATATTCAGACAGAAATCAAATTGATTAGGCGTTAATTTTGAAACACCTTGTATCAAATATTTTATGGCAAGTCAAATATAAATGTTTTTAAAACTAGTTAGAACATACAATTCATACTTGTTTCTTTATTTATATTAAAACATTTATTGTTACAATGTACAAAAAGAAGGCAATATGAGTTGGGTTAGTTGTGTTTAAGGTCTGCTCACTGGATAAGTGGAATAGGAGTATGTTAACCTAAAAAGGCAGAAGATATCTGCTTACTGCAAAATGCTCTTCAGAATGCACTGTTACATCTAAATGGATTTGGAAACAAATGCTACACTGTGCGTGTATTGAATGTGAATTAGCCATGTGCATGACCAGACCTGGTATGGTTATTAAGCTCTTGCAGGCTCATCTAGGAATTGTTTTGGTTTGACAGGAGGAAATGAGGCCTATTTTTTTTAATCCTGTTCATAAATTAGTTGTAGAAATGCGCAGCACTGACAGTACTATATCTGCAATATTAGTTTCTTTTTGGAAGAAATGTAGCCTTATTATATAGGTAGCCATAATAAGTCTGTGGTCAAAATTGGCTTTCTGTAATTTTCTGTTTGTCTTTAGCAAAGCAAAAAAAACTAGGTAAGCCGTATATTTGGCTGCACAAAGATACAGTGTTTTGATTTAGAATTGAAAATTAAAATAGCAAAGCTGATCTTCAATAAAATACAAAGGGAAATGTTGACTTTTAAGGGATATGAGGCGCTGCGTTCCTTTAGGCTTTGTACCATTTGCACTCTGCTGGAATTCAACTGCAGTGTGTTAATATTTTATGTATTGGTATATAAGTAAGAGGACTGTATTTGTTGAATTGTAATAATTATAATATGCTGCGTTCTCTTTTCCTGGAAAGACAAAGCAAAACAAAGCAAATACATTTAAAAAAAAAAAAAAAAAGGCAAGCTGACTTGCAAGTTTGAAACCCTGTCCCTGTCTAAGACAATGTGGTGGCAAGCAGTGCTTTCTGGATATTCAGATCCCTTGCAGTGTGGTGCTTCAAATGTAACTGCTTCAATGTTAGTGCTAAATATTTATCTTGCCGTAGGGCTAAGTGAAACGTGATAAGGTTTCAACATAGATTTTTTTCT